CCTGCTGACGTCTTAGCGGTTCATCCTGCACTGAACTGGGCAGATGCCTCATGAGGAAAAGTGGTGCTGAAACTCACATTTACCTTCTTTCTGGAATCTCAGCCACTTAAGTGCTGGAGTAGCTCTCTGATGATTTTGACAGATTTAAACTAAAATTTCTCCATCTTTTTTAGTTGCCAAGTTGCTTTTGGCAGGAGAGTTGTTCTGATATAAACTAATCAGCCATAGCCAGAAGCCAGGAACTTAATTTTTAAGAATGATTTCCAGCGAATCATGGTAGCCATATAGATTCCCCTGACCAGAGATATTTATGGTTTTTTGAAATCAGAATCCTTCTTACTCTCTAATTCCACAATTGCCATCTACTGTAATTTCCTCAATTATAAGACACTTGAATCTGAAATAGCATGGAGGAATACACACTGGTCTCTAGCTGGAATGTGGGAAGTGCCCTGTTCTCATCAGCTATATATCTATAGCCCATCTCAAAGTTGAGCGCTCCCAGTGTCTTTTATACCTTCTTATATTACACTTACTACATTATATTGTAACCATTTGTTTACTTTTTCTCCTCTGCTAGACTGAGAGCTGGAACCTGTTGTATTTATCTTTATACTTTCAGTGTCTACCACAGTGTCTGACATTTAGAAAGTATCAGCAAATGGTTTTAGAATAAAGGGTTCTTCTAAGTAATGTTATTTATAGATATATAATATCTATTAAATTCTCATTAGTAGTAGTTTGAATGCAAAAAGATTTTTCCAGGAGTTCCCTGGCGCTCCAGTGGTTAGGACTCAGCACTTTCACTGCTATGGCCCCGGCTTCAATCCCTGGTCGGGGAACTAAGATCCTGTAAGCCATGCAGCATAGCCAAAAAAAACAAAAAACAAAAAAAAAACAAGAAGATTTTTCCCCTGGACTTGCCCCACATTTTGGGTGAGTACCCTGTTTAGAGTCTGTGGATTCTCATGAATTGAATACATGCAGGGGGATTTTCAGGTTCCCTGGGTGTTGAGACAGTGGAAGAGACTAATGAAAAAAGAGACTGATAACATGGACATTTTTAAATGGATGTCAAGAGATTCGTGTTCACCCTCATCAGCACCCCGGAAAAAATTTTTAAGTTCAGAGTTGAATAAAATGTACAGCAGACCAATAAGGAATGCCACGTTCTCCTGGAGTCATGATCTGTCCAGCACAGTGCTTTGATTCTGACTCCAACGAACTTTCTTCCACACCAGTGCTCCCTCCACTTTTGACTGCCTTAACACTTGCATGGGAAGACAGATATTCTTTCAATCAGGTATATATCTTTCCTGTATTATTAAAAGTTAAAATGACAGTCATATTAGATAATGCTGTAGTCAAATTATTCTGTGCAGATGAATACCTGACAGACATACTTTGCTTTCATGCCAGGTGACTGGTGTCTGAATTCTACTAAGTGTAGAGTGAATATATATCTCTATTTGAAATTAAAGTTGGACTTATTTAAATTAAGGATTTGGTTTCCTCACAGATGTCTTATTCTCTTCCAGGTTCCGAGTCTTCATGCTTAGGATTTGGTATTTCTAATAACTTGAACCAACAGAAATGCTGGTAACAGTTGCATGGACTTCCTTTTACTGATTTTCTTATGCTCCAGAAACATACTATCCCATGTTCAAAGGATGGAAGTCCAAAGAATTCTTATCTTTATTCCCTAACATGCCTAGCTCCATCATACTACTGGTCAGTCCTGTGTGTTTCCTACCTAACAAACCCAGATCAAAGCCAAATGAAATGTCTTCTCCAGACTTTTCTCACTCCTAATTTTATAAATAAAAAATATTTTTATTTTATATATAAGTACTTCTTAGATTCCAGTTTCTCTTAATGATGGACTAGCTTGATCATCCACAGGTAATAATGATGAAATTGGACAATTTGAAAGTATTGTAGAGTAACCAGAAACAGGCAGAAACTGAATAAATCTAACCTTGAAAGACAATGGGTGACATTTGTTTATGGGTTTTTGCCTGAGGGCATTCTCCAATCTTGGGTCAAGAACACAAACTGAAGGTGTTGAAGGATGGAGGTTGAGGCCAACAGATCAACCAGAAAATCAGAGGGAAAAATCCAGTTAAAAAAATTACTATACATGTAACGAAATAGGAAAATGTGATACTTACTCAAGGGAAAAAAATAGTCAATAGAAACAGACTCTGAGATGATCCAGATATCACAATGAGTAGACAGTGACTTTAAAGCAGCTGTTACAAATACGCTCAAGAACTTGAAGATATACACACAATGAATTCACATGGGGAATTTCATCTGAGAAATAGAAACAATTAAAAAGATCAAATGGAAATCCCAAAGCTGAAAAGTATAAATAACTGGAATGGCAAGTTTACTGATTGGGCTTAAAATCAGATTGGAGAAAACAGCAGCAAGAGTCAATGAACTGGAAGATCAATAGGAATTATCCAATCTGAAGAACAGGAAGGAAAAAAATGAGAGAAAACACATATCTTGGATGAAGGCAAGAAATAAAAGTAGGGCAGAATTGAAGTGAATGCTCAGTACTAATAAATTCTAGCAATTAATTCTTCAAAGGAAAAAATTGAAAAATAAAACCTGGATTTTGGGTGTCTAGTTCTTGTAGTGTTTTTTCCAAGAGTGAGCGGGAACATATCTGATTTCAAAACAGTGTGTTTTTGTTGGCTTTCATAAGGTCATTTCTCTCACATGGCCATACGTTTCTTAGCTTTCTGTCCTCTTCCTCTTTTTTTCTTGCATTCCTTCCAGTGTGGATGGCCTTTTCCGTCTGTGTGCTATATTCTGGAGCTATTTAATTATGAAGACGACTTCTGACAGCAGACTAGGGCAAAGGAAACATGGGATGGGTCATCATATACAGTTCCATTCTTAATTGGTTTGCTTTTTGATGCATTCTCCTGTTGTATTTTACTTTCACTCTAATTTTTGATTTTTCAAATCATAGTGAATCATTTAGTTATTTCTAAGCATCAATCTTTCTTAAGAATCTGTGAATACAAAATACCAAATGATATTTCAAAATGAGTGACTTTTAATTATTGATCCCTCTAGATACAATTCTATTTCTTTTGGTTTACCCTTTACAGGTGTTTCACCAAAACCAACAGCACTTTCAGCAGCAGCCCCCTTCCTGTGGTCCCAGTGGTAGCACCTTATCCTCAGGATGGTTTGGAAATGAAGCCCCTCATTCACATGAAGATGCCTGTATGTCTGGCTTCCACAGTCACCGACTGTGGTCAGTCACCTGAGAAGGGCATCAAAGATGACAAGGCACGAAGACCTGCTCAGCATATTTGCTGTCAAGACAATAGAAATGAGACCAACTCTGATTGTGTGGAAGTTGCAGCAGAGTTCAACAGAGGTACAGCAAGACATTATAAATCTTAAGTTTCTAGATAGTCTTCAGTTAACTAAGAACTGTATCAGGAAAGGTGATGCTTTCAGAATGTTCTCTCTGTGATCAACTCACATATTTCTTAGATATTGGGTGTGGGGTGGGGGGGGTATTGGATACTTAAAAAAAAGTTGACTCAATAAAGAGTTCTTTGAAATTTTGTTATGCACACCATTCATCTCAGATTGTTCATCCTGAGCACATTTTGGAAAATAAATCCAAATAGGCTTTGATTCAATTTGTACCTGAAAGTAGACTTGCTAGAAGGATGCATTTTGTGATCCTGAGCTTTTTCATTTGAATTGATTCTGGAGTTGTAGCCTCTCTTTAAGATGGTAATTTTGGGGCTTTTAAGGGGTTTCCTTTAACCCTAAGATGAATTGTACAACTGTTCATGAGAGCTCAACTTTATTTTAAACCTTTTAAACGTACTGTCTCCCTCAAATTCAAACTAAATGTAACTGGGCTCTGATTTTGCTCATGATTCTTTCTTTATTGCTCAAGGTAATGTTTATAGACTGCTTTGATAAAAATCAGCCTTTATCATTTCCAAACCTTTGTTTTTCAGGAGACAGTGGTGTGCCTTCAGAAACAGAGAACAAAATTTTAAGTTGGAATCCTCTTATTTTGCCACCTGTTTCAAAGGACTGCGCTGAAAAGACACCATGGTCTCCTCCTGGCATTCCTGTAGACAGCCCTTCAGGGGTCCTTCAGCAATCCCAGGAAACCTGAGGATATGTCAGTGCCTCGTCATGTTTCCACTTCAAGCCAGTAACTGCACAAAACAGGCCTGGGGATGGACTGTATGAAGGACATTAATTGAATTCAGAGAAAAATCGTTATTTATTTTTTGTAGTAGTAATGTCATATGAATGTATCTTAAAATGTGTGCCCTTTTATATTATTTATGCCTTAAAAGTTTCCCTCCCTATTTCTTCCTCCCCCTCAGTAGTAAACAACCTTGTTTGGCATAGTTTTCAATCATATGAGAGCAGTGGGATCATTCCACATTGTCCAAGAGCCTCAGCGACAGTAAGAGCCCCTCCTACAAGGATCCCACCTATTGGCTGACTCAGCTAAGAGAGAATTGCACAGGCCATTGGAACTTTTCAGATGGAAAGCTGTCTTTCACTATCATGTTATCAGACTTTCTGAGAACATTTGTAGTCAACCACAGTTGTAGCCTGATGTTTGTAATAGCAGATGTCTTGTGAATTTGATGAGTGCCTTCCACAGAAGTGATAGTTGACCTATAGACTGTCTGCACATGGGCACAAGTTATGTCCAGCTTTCTAGGCACTAATCACAAAGAGTGTCATGGACATGGTGGTGGTTAAGTCTGGCTGGGTTATTGCAGAAAGCAGAAAGGGAGCCAAGGCCAGAGAGAAAAAGAATGCCTACTAAAATTTTAAATTGCATTTGTTTATAACATGGTCACCATGAGGCTCTTTTTGACTGTTTCTAAGAGTAGGAGCAAAATAAGACTTTCAAGTAGTGACTGGAAGAGAAAGATGTGCATTTTAAGAAAAAAGGGAAGGTTCCAGGGGGACTATCTTGGCGGAAGCTCTCCCATTAGTATAGGATGTGTCATGGTACCACAGCCCCTGAAAATCACTATTTTCTGATTTCCAGCTTGGGCAATACCTGGAAGATGGGAGTGTCAGAAAAGAATCTGGAGGTTTGAAGTTTCCAGACATTTTTTCTGAATGTCATCATTGTAACAGGCACCTAAAGCTTTGATTAGCAGAGCTCATAAATCACAATTATTGCTGCCTCTGAGTGACGAGGACATTTGCAGCTGCCGTTGGAAGGCTTTTCTTCTCCACATCTAAACCAAAACAAAACAACACTCTAAGTGTATTTGATAGCTTGAGTCAAGCTTTACGGATCACTGCTCCTTTCTGGATTGTGCATCCCTTTGGGGAAGAAACTCTTCTACCTAAGAGTCAAGCAATTCCAGCATAAGTGGAAAAATTTTACAGTTTCCCAACAATTGCAGTGAAATAGACTAGAATACTGTATTAATCGACTTTCTATATAAATGCATCAATATCCCCTTACATATGTCTATATACTTTATAAATAGAACTGTTAGTGGAATGTGCTTTGTGAGCTGGGTCACTATGCAAGGATGACTTTGAGTAGAATGTAATAGATATAATTTCATTGTCGGGTATCAGGGATGCTGCAGAGTCAAGTTCTCCATTCCAGACGTCCATGCCTGTAGTATACTGGATTTATTCTTCATGCTGCTTAGATGCAGTTAGCTTTGGAGGGGGATAGCTGTGTCCCTTACTTCTGTGGCTAGCAAAGGACAAAGTCCTAGCACACAATATAAAAACTGTGTTTGCCAGTCAAGTTACGGCAATACAGTCACAAAGGGAGTTTTAGAAAACTGGGGAGTAAACGTTTGTAGGCAGTCATTTTGATTCAGGAAACAGAGGTGTATTAGCATGAGCCTTAGGTCATAAACTGCTTTTAAAGATTGACTTTGAATATGAGATTTGTCCACTAGGAAGAGAAAACAACTTTACCTTTAGGGCAATCTCATTGTGGACTGCTTTATTTATATTATTAGTAACGCTGTTTTAAGTGTTATCCCTTTTATTGTATTTTATTTATAAAAAAATGCCTTTATATATTGAGATATATAAATATATATATATATAATTGCCTTCATGTTTAGGAGTTATGAGTGCTATCTAACCATGAGTTGTTCTGAACTTTTAGCCCTGCGCAGTCACCCAAAACAGTCCTACCTAATGTCACTTGCCAGGAAGTCAGAGGAAAGTACAGCATGGGCGATGGCTCTAACATTTGCGAAGTAACTGCTGTGTACCAGGCACTGTGCTGGTGCTTGTTACTGCTATCATCTCAAATCTTACTGTTACAGGCACTGTGCTGGTGCTTGTTACTGCTATCGCAAATCTTACTGTTACAGGCACTGTGCTGGTGCTTGTTACTGCTATCGCAAATCTTACTGTTAAGACACATCTACAGAGTAGGTGGTAAAGTCCCCAGGTCACACAGGTGAGCCACAGACCTGCATTTGAACTTATCTGGAGCTGTAATCTGAGCTCCTTCCGTTTTTCCATACTGCTTTCCGAAAGCATTGTGGTTCACTCTCCTGATGGAACTGGTCCAGTTCTGAAAGCCCTGGCCCGCCCCGCCATGGGATTCCTCGGATGCTGTAACTCCACAATGAGAGAAGCTGCCTCTGTCCTCCATGGGCAGAGCTCTGAGCTTATTGCCTGGTCTTCCCGGAGCCCTCGTTTCTCTCCATGACGCCCCCTCACTACCATCCACGCACGGGAATTTGACCTTCTCTCAGCGTAATAGTGATCCTGTAATCCGTCAGGCCTCTTTGTGTTTCTTCTCCTCTTAGAATTCGCTGTGAGTCTTTGTTTTAGCATAAAACTCCCCCCACTCCTACTATATAATTTCACTAGCTCCTTTTTTTTCCTTCTTTTTGTTATGCACCGATCGTCTGGTGATGGGTGCTCTACAAGATGTAAGTGAAATGGCAGTGTTTTAAACCTTTTGAAGTGGTCTTTAGAAAAAGCATCTCTTTCTGGGTTTTGTTTTCGTTGAGTGAGTCCTCAAGGGCCAATACATCCTTACTAAGCTGATTGTGATGCAAATCTCATTCCAGCTACAGTACTGCCAAGAAGTTAACTTTATAACTGAATTTCATCTGTGTTGTTGTCTTTTAAAGCAATGACTTTTAAGATGCATGTTTTTGTATCATATTGAAAAGTATGTTTTATCTTCCTTAAAGTGGTAATGTTTGAAATTGTACATATTCTAAATGATGTAGCTTTGACAGGTTTTATTTTGCTGGTTTGATTCTATATTAAAAGAGAATGCTGCTTTCATGTAGCGTAGCACGTGAAGATGGGGATCCTCTGATTGCTCTGTCTGTGTAAAGCTGCTTATAGCCGGTGATTGGGGTGGGTGTACATCTCACTCTGACATTTTTTGGACCCCTGTCCTCCCCTGAAACTCCCCTATGCACATCCCAGAGCCCAGTGAGTTAATCCATTCTGTTCTGACTGCAGAGATCCAGGCCCCAAAGGAAAAAGATCCAGGACAGGTATTTTATGGGAGGCTGGGAAAATACGTGCACCAAGGAGCTCTGTCGGAGCAGGAAGACTCCCTTAGGGGAACTCAGTATTTCTTTGGAAGGAAGCAAGGAGAGAAGCAGCAGGAGAGTGAGGAAGACGGGTCCCTTCTGAGACCTCGCCTATTTTTACCGTTTACCTATGTCCCTATGAACCCCAGGGTAGAAATTTAGTCTCAAGAAGCAGCTTTGCTTTACTGCCCTGAAAAACTCAAAGTGTCTGGGCTGCTTAGACCAGAAAGCCAAGAGGGACTTTTGCACGGGGTGGGGCCGCCTTGTGCCGCCTTATTCCCCAGATTTAAAAGAGCCTTCCTTGGGCTTCCCTGGTGGCGCAGTGGTTGAGAGTCCGCCTGCCGATGCAGGGGAGGCGGGTTCGTGCCCTGGTCTGGGAGGATCCCACGTGCCGCGGAGCGGCTGGGCCCGTGAGCCATGGCCGCTGAGCCTGCGCGTCCGGAGCCTGTGCTTTGCAACGGGAGAGGCCACAACAGTGAGAGGCCCGCGGACCGCAAAAAAAAAAAAAAAAGCCTTCCTTGAACCTCAGCCCCCGTCCCGAGAGCTGTGAGGGAACTTGAAACCCCTCTTCTAATGAAGTCTGAATCTGTGAGAACCTAAGGAGAACTTAGTTTCTGTCAGTTTTCCGTCTCCTCTCAGGCGCCACTTTCCTGATTCCTGGCAGGATGATCCCTTGGCTCTCTCGCTGTTTCTTCTCATCTGAGACCCCTGCGGAGGCAGCTCTGCTGACTCTTCCAGGCAGTGGAACAAGCATGCATTTGTGTTTCACCCAGATGTCAGACACACACGCTTGGAGTCAGTGAGTCATGCTGGCGGCTGACAGAGTGTGACTTTGGCTTGGCCGGGTCCCCTCTCAGCCAGCTCCCCAAGCCTGGTGGCAAGAACCCTGTCCCGTCTTGTTGGCACAGACTCTGGGGTCTAGCAACTGTGAGGCCCTTTGACCACGACAGGCTTGGTGCTATTCCTACATGAAAGGTGAAAGGGGGACAAAGGCCCTGGGCACCTGGCTCTGCTACCAGCCCTGATTCAGCTGGTCCTACAGTAGAAGCTTGTGTTCTTGGGGAAGGAACTTGGGATGTGGAAAGAACTAGAGGAGCACATCTCTTGCTAGAGTTGAATGAAGGGCACACACACCTGCAGATCTTGCTTCCCATCCCCTAGTTTCCTCCCAGTAGGGAAACCTGGAGCCCAGCTGAAGCCAGGTCAGCCTTTCCCTGTGGGAGCTGCAATTGGAATAATCCTCCACTGGTGAGAGCATCACGTGTGATTTATCGAGGGATTTCTCAGTTCACGGACTTGGTGTGGAAGCAGGCAGCTTGCTCCTACGGCACCAGACACTGGTCCCGGCACCGTGGTTCTCACTTGCCCTCGGACAGCCGGTTCGTCTTCTCCCCAATCGTGTGTCTTCCTCGTCTTTCCACCTCTGTCTTCCACAAGCTGGGCCAGGACTTGTCTCATAATCAAGTCATTTAGAGGCCCTGCACTTGAGCCTCGTGCTGGTTGTAAAAGCCGGATATTCAGTGGGAAGGGGTAGCTGGGGTCTTAGCTACCTTGGCTTTAACACTCAGTATGACCGAGGGGATGTTCCCATCCCCACCTTCTCCCCTAATCATGTTGGCACCTTCGCCTTGAGGCCTCATGGTGTGGCAGTCACTGTGAAGGTGACGTTTACTGGAGCCCCCGTGGATTCTTGTGCAGGATGCGAACCTGGGGTGGTGGGTGGTGGTTCAGTGCCTACAAAGAACAGACACAAGCAAAGGAGAGAGAGATGCCCTGGGCATGCCCCAGATTGTTCCCAGAGGACAAGAGAGACTGAGCATCACGCATGAAACTCAGGACTGTTTCCTGGCTTTGGGGATAAAATCGAGCTTACCTGTCATTGCCTCAGGGCCACCCCTTGAACCCCGATATTGGTGACTTTGCTCCCTGAGGGTGAAGTGTGAGAGTAAAGTTAGTGGCAATTACACTCTCCCAGCCTTCCTGACCTCCAGAATGACTGGGCTTCCATACTCACCTGGGAACAGGCAACCGCCCAAGGCTGGTAGGAAGAAAAGGAAGAGGTGCGTTTCTTGAGCAACCAGCACAGGT